CAAACTTTGCAGGCAAGCTTCTTAAAAAATTTTGAACAATTTTTTTTATCAAGAATATCATCTCCGTAACAACTAATCTAATTTATTTTTCCAGCAACTCTAGTAAAGAAGTTCTGAACAACTTCACTATCATCATCAAATTATCGAATTCTCTCCATAAATTTTGGAGTTTGATAGAAATCACTTTTTCAGATCCCTGAATTCATTGTTTAAAATATCCCAAACTTCTTTTGATTTTGAAGCAATTTTTATTATAGGAAAGATAGATTTACTTACAGCATGTTGGATGAAGTGGAGGGCTTTTCCATCTCTTTTTTTATTTTTATTTTTTCATTCTGCTTTGCCTGCAACAACGAATCAAGTGCAGCTGCATCTTTTGGAACTGAATACCTTCTTCAACAATATCCCACAAATTTTGTGAGATAAAGAGTCTTCATTTGGAGACTCCATGAGTCGTAATATTCTCCATCTAGAATGGATATTAGGTTTTGGGTATAATTCATACTTGAGGTTGATGCCATAGGTAAAGGCTTTTTTTTTTTTGGAAGCACAAATCAGGCTCTGATACCAAATGTTAAAAATTTGTGGAAGTGTTGATATATTAATTTGTTTAGAAAATAGCAAAGAATGATAGTAGAAATGAAGCGGAAACAGTAATAACTCAAAGGATTTCTCTATTACATACGAAATAGAAAATAACATGGGCTACAATAAACTAGTAGGGTCTTGAAGACCACACTCGCTTTTGACAGCTTATGGCTATTTCTTTTTACATCTCACTTTGATCTTCTTTCGATTGCTTTAAACCCATGCATATCATGCTTATTTATAGAGCATTGAACCACCATACTATGGGACTAGATTAGTCCACAAGTTTTTTGACTTTGTTGTGCTCCACTTTGCTTCATCGCAAAGTAATATTCGTACCACTAATTTGCACCATCACACTTCATCGCTTAAGGTGGTAAACTAGGTATACTAAGTAAAGTTTGTTTGTTTTACACCCACTGATTACAAGAGAATGTTCTACATAGAGTGAGGCGATGATGGTAGAATTGTGTGGAAGATGGAGTGACGGTAAGAAAGAGTTATAAAGAGAGACAAATTATGTTTCAACATAATTTATTTGACGATGGACGATTTATCGAAGCTTAATTGGATCCTTAATTTATCTGACTAACACAAGGTCAAATGTTGTGCATGCAATCAATATTTGTTCCAGGTTCATGAATGAACCAAGTAAACTGCATTTTACTGCAGCAAAAAGGATTTTGAGATATATTCAAGGAACAAAGAAAAACAATATCAAATATGTTTCTGAAAATGATACTAATCTTGTTGGATTTTTTGATAGTGACTGGGCAAGTTCTATTGATGATCGGAAAAGTACTTCCGGCTATATATTCTGCATAGGTACAAAAATCATATTGTAGTCATCAAGGACGCAAAATACGATTACTCTATTTTGTTAGTAGAAGCGAACTATGTCTCAACAACAAGCGTAGCATGTAAAGCTGTTTGGCTCAAAAGAATTTTATCAACTTCCAGCAAAAGCAAAATTCTCCTACAATAATTTTCTGTGATAACATGTCAGCCATTGCAATGACAAAAATTCCAATATTTCACTATCGATCAAAGCACATAGAAATACATCATTTCATTAGGGAGTTGACAGAAAAAATAGAGCCAAAATTCATCAACGCAAATGACTGACCAGCTTGCAGACATCTTCATGAAGACAATTTCAGCTGACAAATTTATCCAGTTCAGAGAAGCAATGAGAGTGACAAATTAAGGGGGATGTTGAAAAATAATTTCTCTCTAGAACTCTTTCACACCACTCCATCTTCCACACAATTCTACAATCATCGCCTCACTATATGTAGAACATTTTCTTGTAATCAATTGGTGTAAAACAAACTTTACTTAGTAATCCTAATACACAACCTTAAGCGGCGAAGTATGACAGTGCAAATTGGTGGTACGAATATTACTTTGTGATAAAGTAAGGTGGAGCACAACAAAGTCAAGAAGCTTGTGGACTAATCTAGTCCCATAGTATGTTTGTTCAATAGTCTATAATTAGGCATGATATGCATGGGTTTAAAGCAATCGAAAAAAGATCAAAGTGAGATGTAAAAAAAGATATCCAAAAGCTGTCAAAGGCGAGTGTGGTCTTCAAGACTATACTAGTTCATTGTAGCCCTTGTTATTTTCTATTTCGTATGCAACAGTGAAATCCTTTGAGTTAATATTGCTGCCTCTTCACTTCTACTATCATTCTTTGCTATTATAGCAATGCTTCCGTAAATTCCAACAGTATTGGCGGTGACTTAAATGTCATCCGATGGATCCACGAGAAACAAGAACCACAACCTTACTTGTTGTATGTTGGCCTTCCCCGAGTTCATCCATAGAGATGGTCTCGTTGAGATCCCTTTCCCATGGCCCAATTTCAGCTGGCCTATTCATGCCTCAAGGCCCTCCCTCTCTAAGCTAGAATGCTCCTCATCTCCCCTGCATGAGATGCGTATTCCAAGGTTCTCACTCCTTCGCTCTACAGAAACTTAGCCTATCCTATTAAACACCTCTTCATGGTCGATAGGCAAAAGGCCCATTAAATTCGAACTGTCTTGGCTCATGGAGCCAATCTCTCCTCACTAGTCCCCCAATGGTGGGACTCCAGAATTCAAGGACGGGCTAGTTCCGCCTAATGAAGAAGCTCCAGTTGCTTAAGGGCCAACTAATTCATTGGAGCAGAGAACTTCCAGGCAACTTTAGGTCCACCAAAGCAGAGACTTTAGCTTGCATCCAGGAATTGGATCCTTGGAAGAAGGCAAAAAATATGACCATCGACGAACGAAGCAGAAGTAACCAAGCCAAGAAGGATTACCAATTAGTTATCAAGAAAGAGGTCTTCTAGTACCAAAGGTCTAGGCTCAAGTGGTTAAATTGTGGAGACCACAACAGTAAGTGTTTCCATATGACTGCAAACCTAAGGCACAGGGAGAACATAATAACCCAAATGTCTGTCTGAAGCCATACCTATCACCAACCCAAGGAGGCAAAAAGAGTCATCCTAAAATTCTTTATGAAACTTTTCTCAATGTTGCCTTCCCCAAACTGTCCATGGCTGATTTCACCTTTCTTCTCCTCCCCAGGGCAAGGTTGATTGGCTTGAAAGACCTTTCTCTGAGGAGGAGATTGTTAAAGCCATTAAAGACTTGGATCAAGAAAATGCCCTAGGTCCAAACGGTTTCCCTATTGCCCTGTTCAGTACTTTATGGGACTCCATGTGGCACGACATTTTAAATTTCTTCAGTGAGTTACATGAGAGAGGTGCAATTCATAGAGCCATGTATGCCACCTTCCTGGCCCTGGCTCCAAAGGAAGAGGGAGCCACAGATCTTAAAGACTTTAGACCCATTCGCCCCTTGAACAACTCCTATAAAATTTTAGCAAAGGTCCTTGCCTCTAGTCTTAAGGAGATCCTTAACTAGGTTATCTCACCCAACCAAAGGCCTTTCGTTATGGATAGGCAAATCTTGGATGGTGCATTTATTGCAAACGAGTGCATACACTAGAGACATATCTTCAAAACACTTGGGGTTGTAGTGAAGATTGACTTTGAAAAGGCTTATGACCATGTCGATTGGGCTGTGCTCGACAAGGGCATGACCAAAATGGGCTTTGGGCCGAAATGGAGGCAGTGGACCACAGGCTGTATCTCTAGTCCCAGGTTCTCGGTCCTAATCAATGGAGCCCGCAAGGCTAGGGTGTTTTGTGATAAATTTCCCTAAAAAGTAACATGTTCTCCATTTGTTTCCCATTTACTTTTTAAATGTATTATTCATGCACTTTTCAGAATTTCTTTTTTCGAAATATCTTCCATAATTATATCATGAGCTATTTTCACAACTCATTTGCCATTACCATTTTATTGTCTAACAACCATGTTTGAAACCCCTGAATTTCAACCACAGTTCAACCACAAAACATAAGCAAAAGAACACAATTTGAGCCCCAGATGTGTAAATTACCATCTATAAAGGAATATTTTCACCTCTCAAAGCAAATAAATAAATAATATATATCACACTCCATTAATATAAAAATGAAGCATCAAGAAAAGCAATGAACTCTACTTTTTATCAATTTGTAGAAAAAGAGGTAATATTCTGAGTTTTAAATTTCATCATAAGCCTTTCTAACAATCTAGCAATGGTAGAACCCATTCCAAGAAAAATTGAAATTAAACGTGCCCCACACTCAAAGAAGCGCTACTGCTTAGCAATGACTTGGGTTACATTTTGGGCATGTAAAGGAGGGCACAGGTAATGCGTATTTACTTTTGGAGTTATTTAAAATGAACAATGAATCATAAACCAATAAGCCTAGTTTCAAATAACTTAATAATCAAATTATCCCTTATGATAAATAATTAACTAACAGAATCCTGATATTCATATACAAGCATGGCCAAAATCAGACCACATGTGTGCAATTCAAGTGTGTATGTGTGTGTGTGTGCGTGTGTGTGTGTGAGAGAGAGAGAGAGAGGCGCCTGAGGAGTTAAAATTCACATGCTATTTCTTAGAATAGCAGAGCAGCAACAAATGACTTAATGCCAACCTAGAAGGAGAGAAATGATCCCCACACTAAATTCGTCACATCCATAGGGAAGATTGTTGATGGATATATCTGTGGACTACAGGTTCCAACATAGCAAGCATCTCAAATATGGTCCAATCCCATACATTTCAAAAATCTCTTCTATTCGATAAACTTTAACACCAATATGGTTCATGGAACTAAATGGAAAACTAATTAAGCTACTAGAGATATAACCATGCATCTCCTTGGAAGCAAAAATTAACAGAGATAAAGATTACATACAGCGACCTACAGGCAACACTCAGCCACCACTTAGCCCAATAAAATATCAACAAACACTAAACCAAAAATAAAAAATAAAATATAAAAACGAAATAAAAACTCACCAAGAGCTGGAGTCTGGAACACTGCTAATGCAGTTGTGTCATTAACCCAACGTATGACGACTCCCTGATCCCTAAAACCTTCAAAAGCCTTTTCTAAATATGTGGTTGTTGTTTTGGGGGAGAACCCACCAAGCACAAGAACATGATTAGTGCCATATTTTACTGGAACACAAGGAGCACCTGTAGAGAAGAAAAGGCGATATTGCATCCATTGGATCTTTGAATATAATCCTTGGAAAACAAAATTAAAACTACAAACATCAACATTACTCTTGGTAGATTATGATGACTTATATTATTTCTTTTTATAAGAAATATTTCTTTTGGTAACCAATTTTTTTGTATTTGATATCCAATATAATTATTAAGCAGTTGAAAATAGATTTAGTACCACAATTGTGATACTTGTATTTGTTAGTATGGATAGTTGGATATGCAGCCGGGTGGTGCACCGCAGCAGTAATAACATGATTTACTACAATGCTTTCCATTTTTTGGAAATATAGACTATGAAGAGTGTGTCTGAATCGTAGTTCCTGGAGTTCATTCATAATTGGAACTAGAGTCTCCATCATCGACATCCCACCAGTGTCTGACATTACGTGCTGAGTATGTTTATGGAATTAACTGCCTTTAACATAATGCAACAAGTACACCAAAAAAAAAAAAAGCAACAAAACCCCACAAAGAGACTTACAATTCCTACTAGAAGCATCCTCTTGATCTCGGCAGGTCCCTTCCTCGTCAAAAGTAGAGTTATCAGAAAAGTTATTTTGTTGTTCACTATATAATACATTCTGATTATACATGAAAGCTCCTCTGCCACGTCGTTTTAGAGGTTGGCCCTTATCATTTTCCTTTTCCTTGGGTAGGTTTACACATTTTTCATTTTCCAACTTCAGAGTTGATAACTCGGGCAATGGTGAAATAGAAGAACGACTTGAAGCCTGGTCTGCAATAGCTTCCCAATCTGGTTTTTCACCACATTTACCATAAACATCAATAAACCTGATATGGGATCATCCAAGTCAAAAAGCTTCCAGATATAGCAAAAATGCACTCTAAAAGGCATAAATAATTCTCAAATCTATAGCATCAACGAGCATCACAAACCAAGAGAAAAACCTGAAGAGGTTGGTGTGTGCATGCGTCTCATAAGCAAATAAGACACCCCTACCATGTGTAGATGATAATTATAATGTTTCACCACGTTTATCATAAACTTCAATAAACCTGATATGAGATCATCGAAGTCAAAAAGCTTCCAGATATAGCAAAAATACATTACAAAAGGCATAAATAATTATCAAATCTATAGCATCAACGAGAATCACAAACCTAGGGAAACCTGAAGAGCTTGGTGTGTGCACATCTCATAAGAAAATAAGAGACCACCAGCATGTGTAGATGGTAATTATAATGTTTTCCTTATGACTCTCTCAGGCCACTTGATCTTTTTAAAAAAGGTTAAAATAGAGAGAACATTCTACAGGAATTAAACAATTATTTGAAACCCCACATACATATAGAAACCATCGACTCAAACAAAATCAACAAACCCTATCATGGAAGCCACAATTTGATGTCTTGCAATCATAATTTAGTGGAGCTCAAGTGTCTCTCTAAAATAGTGAACTCTGCATATTGTATTTCATGTCATGTCAAAGGACAAGGTCAAGTGCAATACAACAGGATGAGATCACTTAGGGAATCACTCAACCAAGAAGACTAGACACTACAACTTATCGTTGATATGTGGTTGACAACAGTATCTTTTAGTGGAAATACAAGGAACTGCAAATTTTATTTGGAATCAAGTCACTAGTGCTTCCTAGTTGCCACTACTTCGCATGGAAGGGAAATAATCCAATCTGCCATCACTAGGTACATAATATATATGTCCAAATTCGTAACTATTCTTAGATGGAAAGGAACGCCTCACAAGGATGCATATATATGATGTCACTGAACTCAATATTTCATTAAGAGGACTTTAGAAATTTTTATGAAACATTTCTAGATAGTTTTGTTTGGAAGACCTTAAAGAATGCAATGGACACCTATGAGGGCTTTAAATTCCTGTATGTGGTAAATAGTGAGGAGTTGAACACAATATACTCTCTGGATAGGGTTCTGTATAGCACTAAAGAGTCAGTAAAGACAACACTGAGAATTAATTTGACTTAACATTCCTTATTGTTGGGTTATTCACCACAAGAGTAATGTACAACTCAGTAGCCCACTAATACAGCAATCACAAAAGGTTATGTCCATGGTAAGGCTGAAGCTATCAATGAATCTAATATTTTATTAACAAACAATGCAAGTAATATCTTTTTGCATAGAAGGTGCATTGGCCATCCAATGGCATATCGATGCTATTCTGACCTAAATCCCAGCTATGTTACAAGGACATGGATATGAGAATCTGTGTTTGGCTCAGATTCGAAGAATCTGTCTCACCAGACTATATTTCGCAAAGTCAAGAATGACACATATATACAAATCCATAAAACATGTAAGTGTCTATGTGTAGTCATACATAAAACAAATTTGTCACTTCTAATAACATCATCAACAAAAAAAAAAAATTGTCACTACAAATCAAAGACACTCGTGTCCACATCACAAGAGACATTCACCCATGTGTTCTTTGCAAAATGAACATGTAAATCATGTTATGCATACACATGTTACAAGGAAAATGAACACATGTTATCCTGTTTGTCCAATCTGTGGATTGGTGTCAACATAGCAGACACACCATCTATGCAAATATGTCCAATCTGTGGATTGGTGTCAACATAGCAGACACACCATCTATGCAAATACAATGGGCAAATTCCTTCGCCACACGTCGACATGGAATTCCGTGTTTTATGCATTGGTGTGTCAAATTCTCCTGAATGCATGCAACATGCATGTTGTTGTTACATAGGATCCAAGCAGTGTGTCATCAAAGAAAGTGTTTTTTCCTTTCAGATGGTTCATATAATCATATTTTTATATCTTAATCAACTTTTATATTTGGTTACAGTTATATATAAATAATATTAATATATTCAATATTTTCAAACTCGCAACAGTGTTTGCAAATTTGGTCAAAATAAAATTCAACTTTCTCAAGTAGCAATTGCTTCATCATCACAGTTCATTGTAGCAATAACAGCATAGTAAGATGCAAAAAAACAGGAGCCTACAAAAGAAACATATTAGAGCAAAATAGGTTTAAGGATTTAACATTTATTTATGATATAAATAAGTGCAAAAGAAGGTACATTGTCAATTAATTTGTTCACAGGTTCTTGGAAGTTTGTACCAATTAAAAGTGATTTTTTTAAATTTAAATTTTAAAATTTCCCTTAACTCATTACAGGCAAGTAAGGAAGAAGGAAGAAACAACTGGAAATACCATCAACTTTGAAACTAGAAATTGAAAGCACTGATGTAGTAAAGGAGTGAGTTGATGAGGCTGGAATGATCCTAATTGAGTAGAGATGGAAAAGAGCTTGCAGACAAAGCGCACATGACGAAAAGGGCAATATAGAAATTCAGTGGGCAACAAGGACAATCATGATAAGGTCGATGAAGCTGATATTGACAACAAGACAAGAAAGAGAATGATTCTTAGGGAGATGAAGTTAACAATAAGAGTTTAAAATAAGAATCTACTGATTATAACTATTAACCTGACTTTAACCAAATTCTAAAGTCATCTTGAATTCTAGAGTGATTAAGAATTACTCTCATTTGTTACATAATAATTGCGAATCTGATAGTAAAGACAAAAAGGGTGATGAAGCTGATATTGACAAGAAGACAAGAAAGAGAATGATTCTTAAGGAGATGAAGTTAAGGGTTTAAAATAAGAATGTGCTGATTATAACTATTGACCTGACTTTACCCAAATTCTAAAGTCCTCTTGAATTCTAGACTAATTAAGAATTACTCTCATTTGTGATTATCATAGATGAATGCGAATGGTTTGTCGTCCTTTGTTCCACAATAATTGCAAATCTGATAGAGAAATTGTGAAAATGATTTAAAATATCTTTTACTATCATGCATAATGTGAACACTTAATTGGTTATAAGCCACGTATGAAATATTGCTTTTTCTTTAGAAACGTGCCCTCTTCTCTTCATTTTCTTAAGTTTTCATATTTCCCATCAGTTTTCTTTTTATTTTACCTCAAATCTTCTCCCAAAGTGACTAAAGCACCAAATAATTTATCTTATACATGCACATCAAAATAGGCTCTAAAGCAAATCTGAAAAACATTTTCATATTGACATTAACTATACTACTACAAAAGGAATCTAAACATTAATATAGTGTGTACCACTTATTCTGGATGCCATAATGGCCAAAGAGTAGTTCAATTAACAATATACAAGGGTGTTTGAATCTCTTGATGGATAGTAATCTACAAGTAACAAGGATATGAATCTCTTGATGGATAGCAATTTACAAGTAACAACCTTGTGCAAGTTTTTTCTTCGTGGTTTAGTCTTAGTTTCAGAAAATCTTGCACTTAGGATGGTGCAGGTAATCTGGAATCTCGTATCCTAGCCATTCCATACACTAAACCAAGCATGCAGTGTTTCCCCACTCCATAAAGTAGAGATTTATTGAGGTATACACCAATTTGTGGGTGTGCCAAACTATTTACACTATTACTTCCCTCTCAATAATGAGCACGCCATTATTTTAGAGAAACAAAAGAAGACAACAAAATAATCTTGTAATTCACATAATACAATTAAACCAATGTTAAAACAGAGTTTTGGGAAGAAGTTCAAAGAGAAAACACCCCAACAACCCTGTAACATAAGCATTTTCTTCAATACTCATAAAGCAAATTAAAAAATTGATTCTGCAAAGTAAACGCAACAACTCAAAGGCACTCACGAAAAGAAGTTAAAATACAATGCGAGCAGTTTATCAATTCTATTGAAATTTGAGAAAGAGAGAAAAACAAGAATCCCTTCTACATGCCATAATGGGCGAAGCCTGACATGAAAGAAAACCAGTTCATGGACCAACAAGGGAAAATAAATCCAATTTAGAAACTGGAAAAGGAACCCAATTTAGATTCAATTACATTAAACAAAGAAATATCAAAATCAAGAAATACCATCATCAGAAGAAGCAGATTCATGAAGCGAACCACCGTGAACCTCCTCAATACTCAACGTCTCAGCCTTCTCCTGAATCCTATTTAATCAAAAGTCGTAAATTATATATCAAAAAACTCTATAAATAAGTAACTTGAGAGAGAGAGAGACCATTCTTTCGGGCCCTTTTGTCAGAGACCATCAAATACAGAGATAGTTCAGAAACCCCCAAGGATTTATTTTTTAATACCCAAAACAAAATGGAAAGAAATACGAAAAGAAATCCAAAAAGAGGATTGAGAAAGAGACAAGGGGAATGAGGAACTCATAATTCAATTGAAGACCCACCTAACTGCATCAATAAACGAAAGATACAAGAATCAGAAAAAAAGGAAAAAAAACGAAAAAGAGAGAAAGTTACCTAAGATGATTACTCTTGTGTTCTTGTCGTCTTTCGGCTCTCTGTTTAATAAGAAGGGATCGATTGAGCAAAGAATCATAAGCAAGAGAGAGTCCCTTTGAAGAATACAAATCGCCCAAATCTTTAAGAACAGAGGCAAGACGGAGATCAGAAGAAGAATTCTCAAAAGCTTCAAACTTGGTAACTAATAACTCAAGATATTTTATTGCCCCATCAATGTCTCCGCGGTCCACCAATTCCTCAACAGCAATGCCCCAAGTCTCACCCTCCATTGCTCTCTCTCTCTACTTCTTGAACGTCGCCACTTTCTACTTCTTGGACTTTGTTTGCACAGAGTGACTCAGAATAAAAGATTACTCAAGAACGCACGCATCCTGGCGAGGAATGGTGCTGCGCGCAATTTATTGCAAGTGCCGAAAGATTTGATACTTCTGCAAGAGTATACTATTGAGCTACTCTTTCTGGAGAAACTCACGCTATAGATGCTTTTAGATGGCAAATTTTAGAGATGTATATCTAGGGGGAAAGATTTGATACTTATGTGGAAGTCTATATTTTCCCTATCCGGCCATTTAATTTAGATCAAGTAAGTCATTGACTGTTTGATAAAAATAAAATATTTCAGAGTATTTTATTTTTAGTTTTTTTCTATAAATTATATGAATATGAAATTTGGTAGGTGCTAAATAAGGCGCACCTAAAGATAATATAAAAAATTATTTTTAATAAAATAAAATGACCAGAATACCTCTGAAACTTTCAAAGGTATTTTAGTTATTTTATTTTATCGAGAATTTTGGTTTTATATTTTTTGTAGATGCGAGTTTAAGAGAAGAGTAGACGCTCAAAATTTGGTGTCAAAAGTTTACGTAGAAAATAAAAATAAAATAGTGTAGTGGCGTGACATTGCAATTGAATCCATCGAAGCCGTTCATTCTGATCTAACTGGTAGATAAGGGAAAGTATCTAATTATTATATCTTAGGAGAAGTATAAAAAGCTTGCCCATCTGTAGGACCCTACAACTAACCTCAAAGAGAAAATTAGAAATAAAAAATTAATTCTCACTCTCTCTCATCGTCATCATAGAGCTCATCCCATCTATTTGGAGTCATTCTGCTCTATCAAGGGCCATGCTCTCTGTAAAACCATATGTCCCCACATCTTTTCTCATTACTTCCATCTATATCCTTTTGGACCTTCTCCTTACTCGTTTAGAACCTTTTACTTGAAGCAAATCACACACTGGAGTTGTTTTGGATATGTGCTACATACGGCTCACCTAAATCTACTTTCTCTCATCTTGTTGTCGATTGGAGCCACCTCTAAGTTTCCTCAAACATATTCATTTTGAATTCTATCTTTTCTTGTCTTACCACTTATCGATCTCAATATTATCATATATGTCATACTTATCCTAGAGGTATGTTGTTTCTTGATCACTCAACATTTTGTCCCATAAAACAAAGCCAATCTCTCATTTGTCTTATAGAACTTCTCCTTCAGTTTCAATGGTATGTGTTATCACATAAACTTTGCTTGCACCAGCTCTACTTCACCCACTTAGCACTAATTCTATGTGCAATATTTTTCTCATTCACTCTATTTTCCTCGATTATTGATACAAAATATCGAAAAGACTCTCTTTAAAGTATTTTTTGGTCATCAATCTTAACTAGTTCTTCGTTTCTACCCATTTTATGAATAAACTTATATTCTATAAATTTTGTCTTAGTCCGGCTAATTTTAAAGCCTTTAACTTCTAAAGCATCCTTCCAAAGTTGTAACTTTACATTGATGTTTTTTCTAATATCATCAATCAAAATTATGTCATAGGCAAACAACATACAACATAATACCTCAACTTGTACGTGCCTACTTAATTCATCCATAACTAAAACAATGAGATATGGGTCAACTTTGACCCCTACTGTAGGCTTATTGTCATTAAAAACTGACTTGCCTCTCCACTAATTGTCCGCATACTAGTTAGTGCTCCCTTATACATTACTGCTCACCTTATCAATATAGCATTTGGATACTCATTACTTTTCCAACACCACCAAATTAAATATCTAAATACCCTATTGTAAGCTTTTACTAAAATAATAAAAGGCCATATGGAGGTCTTTTCCTTTGTGCTTGAACTTCTCAATCAGTTGCTTAAGTAAGAAAATAACCTCAATTGTTAACTTCCCTGGCATAAAATTGAATTGATTCTCTAATACATCTGTTTCATACCTTAGTTGCTGCTCAATCACTCTCTTCCACAACTTCATAATATGGCTCAGAAGTTTGATCTCGTAATCATTCACGCAATTTTGTATATCTCATTTGTTCTTGTAACAATACTTTTATATCATTCATATGACATTTTTTTGTTTTCAACACCTTGTTGAAAGGCTATGTTAGCCCGCACATATTATATATCCAATTTACTTCCAAATCTCTATCGGGATACCATCTAGTCCTAAAGTCTTTTCTTGCTTTATTCTCCTAAAAGCTTCTTTCCCTTCAATATCCTAATCTTGTGAGTATATATATCACCTCCGCCCTCATTTATGTCAAATGTTCCTCCTAGCGTTGTGCTATCATTATATTCATTATTTAACCATTTTTTAAAAATAAACGCTCTACCTTTTGTTGACCTCGTCATCCTACACCAAGACATTTGAACATCACTATTAATACATTTAATATGGTCTAGATCGCTACACTTTAACTCTCATTTTTGCTAGTTTGAGGACTGTTTATTGTATAGATTATTATATGCTTTAAGTTAACTCTTATTTACTATTTTCTCAGCACTTTTTTAGCATATTTATATTCTTCTAAATTTTGATCATTTCTATTAGATTGTCAAGTTTATAACATGATCTTTTTCGCTAATGCCCTTATGAATCTTGTCACTCCACCATCAAGTTTCCTTATCAAAATTTTTTTTTCGACTTTCTTAATTATCACTCTATATGTGCATAAAAAAAAATGATATATTAAGATTGAAAAGGAATGGTCTAATGCTTAGCGAAAAAGATCTAGGTGTTGAAGAGCTCAAAATCCAAAACTTTTCTTTAAAAATAATCTAATAATACTTCAATAAATCCCAAACTATTCAATAAAGAAAAAAATCTTCCAAGTTGCTAGTTTATTCAAGGGAGTTATTTTAGAGTGTTCCTATGGGACCGTGATGTATTAATTACCAATAAGGGTTTCCTAAGGCATGTAATGTACTCCTGTAGGTGTAGATTGTAGACTTACTTTTTCAAGTTAAAACACAAGCAAATTGGTTTGTAGGGAAATTATGAAGCCATCATGGAGGTATGCAATTCTGGTCGGTTGACCTGTTGGGACATGCACTGCATCATGCTTCTAGACCTAGCACGTTGGGTCTAGGTTCTGAAGTATGGACCTAAACGTTACTTGGGTAGGTATTATATTGTATTATCCTTCCTCAAAAGAGTAGTACCCGTTATTGAAGAAGACTATTAGTGGTTTTTCAAGCATAGAATCATAGAATCACAGTGATTTTGGACTCGTAGAATCATTTTCTAACACTTTTTCCTAATGGCTTATTTCTCATGTTTTTCTTCTTTTTTTTTTTTGGAGAGGAGGGGTTGGTGGGGGTGGGGGTGGGGGTTGGGGGGCGAGAAATCAAAATAAATATCACATGAACAGTTCTTAAATAGCCATAGAGAAGAGGTTGGTGGGGGTGGGGAAGAAATCAAAATAAATATCACATGAACAGTTCTTAAATAGCCATAGTCATTGATAAGGGAACACTAGCAAAGTAAGAATGAAAGGCATTACAAAATCAGGAGTGCGAGCATGCAACACCACGACTTCATTTATAGAAACCACTGCTTTGGCCAAATAATCTTCAGGCATATTGGCCTCTCTATAAGCATGTTAACACTTCCATTGTTGATCAATGACATATGCAAGCTTAGATATACAATTAGAGGCTAAGCCTTTGGCAAGGGAACACTAGCAAAATTAGATAGAATGAAAGGCATTACAAAATCAAGAGGGCGAGCATGCAACACTGTCACGGCATTCATAGAAACCACTGCTTTGGCCAAAACATCTATAGGTATATTGGCCTCCCTATATGCATGTTAACTCTTCTATGGCTGATCAGTGAAAGTTATAAGCTTAGATATACAATTAGATAAAATTAAGAACAATCTTCAAGGAGGCATACAATGATGACTCATAAAATCAACAAGAAGCTTGAAGTCACTTTCATAACAAGAAGTACACAATTCGACTCCATTGCCAATGAAATGCCCCTCTTAAGTGCTATTTAAGAACTGTTCATGGCTATTTAAGAACTGTTCAGCTGTGCTATTTCAGCTGTGCTATTAGAATTGGTACCAAACAAAATCGCAAAGGCTGCAATGAATCCACCTGCATTATTCTGATACTTCCCCCACAACCAGCACTAACTAGATTCTAGCTAAAAACCCTATCAATGTTAAGTTTGAAAAAGCCAAAAAGAAAAGGCAGCCCCGCCACCTGAATATGAACTTGAGGGGAGAGAGGGGGTTACCACATTCCAATGAAGGTTGAAGTTAGACATTGTATTGATTCAAAAGAATGGTAGGCCCAACTTTTAACTTTAGCCAACGATCTAACCCAATGTAAAATATGCTTTAAGAGAGACTCCCTAAGTGTATTTCCTCCACCATGGACTCGAGAATTGCGCTCCATCCAAAGACTTCATATAGTAATGGCAAACACATAATTCTAAACAAATTGAATGCAAAGTTAATACGTTTGGCTATCATGGTCATTGTGGTCTACTCAAGGGAGAAACCCTTTTCAAATCTACTCAAAATAGATCTCTATATAAATTTCGAATACAAGCATGGCACCATGATATGGTCTGAGAGCGACTCCTCTTGTAAATACAAGGGGTTAATGGAGACCGAGGCTAATTCCCTCGACTGAATCAAAATAAATAGTACATGAACAGTTCTTAAATAGCCATAGCCCTTGGCAAGGGAACACTAGCAAAGTTAGATATAAAGAAAGGCATTACAAAATCAGGAGGCGCGAGCATGCAACACCGTCACTTCATTCATAAAAACCACTGCTTTGGCCAAAGAATCTACAGGCATATTGGCCTCCCTATAAGTGTGTTAACCCTTCCATTGTTGATCAATGAAAGATACAAGCTTAGATATACAATTAGAGGCTATGCCTTTGGTAAGGGAACACTAGCAAAATTAGATAAAATGAAAGGCATTACAAAATCAAGAGGGCGAGCATGCAACACCGTCACTGCAGCCATAGAAATCACTGCTTTGGCCAAAGAAACTATAGGTATATTGGCCTCCCTATAAGCGTATTAACCCTTTTATTGCTTATCAGCGAAAGTTGCA